GGAGTCTGCTTCTCCCTCTGACCCTCCTCCCTCTCATGTTCTCTGTCTCTCATTCTCTCTCTCTCAAATAAATAAAATCTTAAGAAAAAAAACAAAAAAAACATCTTTTACATAAGCAATAAAAGTGGTGCTGTGTGATAGATCCCTTGGGATTATGTGTGTATCTTGTATTGATGCCTGAGCTTGCTAGATTCATTTGCTTTCCCCCTGGGGTTGGTAAATAGTTTTCAAGACAAAATTTCCTTCATTATTGATCACTGGAGGGTTCCAGTGTAGGAGAATCATGCCTCTGTTCCTTCAGCCTCTTCTCTGGGGTGGCTGTGAAAATTAAACAGTCTTGACATGACAGTGTCCTGAAGTTGCTGAGGGAATATTCGGGAAGAGCCTGCCAGAGGCAGAAGGCAGCGGACCCGGGACCAGAAGGCAGCGGACCCGGGACCTCGATGAGGAAAGCAGAGTGGGTGGAGCTGCTGATTTGGGGGTCTGTGTGAGAGTTGAAGGCTCTGAACTGACTTGCCAGAAATCGCTCTTTATTTTCAGCTGCGTTATGGGGGGAGAGAGGGTGAGTGGGAGGAATTTACTTTTCTGAGTCTTCAGACTAGCACAGGTGTGCTTTTCCCTCAGAGCATCATGTTTTAAGGGTACCCGCGATTTGTTTTAATCAGGTATGGTAAGACACATAGACTCAGAAATGGCTGTCTTGAGGGAAGAAATTTGTTAAACTCACAGATCCCTAGAAACAGGAGGCACAGCAGGTCAGTCAAGAGGCAGAGGTAGGAAGTGTGGGCAAGAACCTTTATGGTGGTTTCCACGGAAGGAACGGGCAAGGCAGGGTAAATATGTTTGGGATCAGCTAGTCTGAATAATTTCAGTGGGCTCTGGGGTGTTGGGGCTGTTGCTTGGTGGCCGGTACCTGGCCCTGGGGTGATTAGAGCAACTGGAGAGTGGCCCAGAGTGTGAGAGCTCATAAAGGAGGTGTTTGGGGTATGGGCTCTGGATTGGTTGGTTTGCATATGAAAGGCTTGCTTGTGGGCTCGTTGTTTCCTATCTTTAGGAATTGGCTAACCCAGGGAGGGGCAGTCTCTCCAGAGTCAGGAAAGTCCCATGATGCCAAAGCATCAGAATAAAGAAAATAAAAAACATGGCATTAGTACACAGCAGGACAGCCAAATACCATTGCACAGGTTGTACATAGCACAAGATATCTGGCCAAGGTGGGAGGTGGGGCTGAAATTCAAATGAAGCCCCGTTCACTAGTCCCACGCTCGCAGGACTGCGTCCAGGTGAAGGGGCTGGCTTTTTCTTACACATACAAAGGCACCACGTGGGCTGGCAGAGGCCCATTATGACACTTGTCTCAGGTTGCTGTTCTATGTCATTTGTGATTATTTGATCAATCTCTGTTTTCCTGCTTGGACCATCAGTTCTAAGGATGCGAGACACTCTTACCTGTTTCCCACTATACTGAAAGCTCCAAGAGAGCAGGGATCAGGTCTTCTTTATTCACCATTGTGTCCTCAGGGCTCAGCACAAGCTGACACATGTTGGTGCTGGTAAGTGTTTACATGATGAATAAATGAATAGTACATAGGACTTCTGACTCCAGAATTGTAGGTTACCTGCACCCTGAACTCTTCTCTTGGCACCAAAAAGATCAAGTTCTGTTCACCTGCCATAGAATTGATTAGGGTGAGTAGCATCCTCTTTGCTGGCAAGAGTTGGGCTCCTGTCCCTGCCTCTTTTGGGACCGAAAAGACAGCCAAGAAGGGGAGGCTTTTTATTCTCAGTCTGGAGATTCTCTGTCAGTTCCTCCCTATTCTAAATCCTCCAGGGGTTTGTGCCTTCTTGGCCACTGGTGAAGAGTGAGTGACTAGGTGTAGGGCACAGAAGGCCATGGCCTTCTGAACCTGCAGGCTGTGGCTGGAGCCCCGGCTCCAACCTCAACAAGTGGAACCCTGCAGGAAGCCCCAGGGGTGCCAGGCATGGCCATAGGGTGATTGCTGGAGAGAAGCTGGATCCCTGGCTTGCTCTGACAAAAAGAGAAGACAAGAACCTGCTTTCAAAAGAAGCCTTGGTTGCGGGGGCGAGGGCGAGGGGGCACGGTTGCTGGCTGGCTCAGTCAGTAGAGCCTGTGACTCTTGATCTCGGGGTTGTGAGTTTGAGCCGCATGTTGGGTGTAAAGATTGCTTTAAAAAATAAAATCTTAGGGCAGCTGGGTGGCTCAGTTGGTTAAGCGTCTGCCTCCGGCTCAGGTCATGATCCTGGAGTCCTGGGATCGAGTCCCGCATCGGGCTCCCTGCTCAGCGGGGAG